ATTGTGCTCTTTTTCTTTTGGTAAAAGAAAACTTAAATAGAAAGAAGATCTTTCTATCTCTCTCTCTCTCTCTCTCTCTCTCTCTCTCTCGAAAAAGATCTGAGCATCATCTGTATGGGAGTAATTAATCAGTTTTATAAATCTAAACAACTGTATTCTTTTTCATATAATTGTAAATGTATATGTTCTTTCTGAAATTCTTTGCTTCTTCATTCATTTCAAAATGAATGATCGAAAATCGTTAAATCGATATAAATTCAAATTTGAAATTAAATTTAAAGTTAAAATTATCATAAAATTTTTTCACAATTCAAGTTAGTAAAGATATTAATTTATAAATTCTTCGCAAAAATTTTTTAAAATTTTCCTGAAAGAAATTTATTCTAATCAATGAAATTATTACATTCTAATCATAAAATAAAATCATTCAAACAATTACTAAAATTAAAGGAAGAATATCTTTAATTTATGAAAATAAAATAATTTTAAAATTCCTCGTTAAAATAGATATAAAGTATAGTTTCCCTTATTGGATTAAAGCTTTGAAAAATTAATTTACAAAACAATTTTCAATAGTTTTATTTCAATTTATCGCTTTTAAATTAAAAAAGATAGTTGTATTTTAAAATTGAATGAATCATCATATACATATACTTATTATTACTTTTTTTGAGTTAAAATTTTTTTTCTTATCCGTTATTAATTTAATTTACTTAATAATAATAATATACATATATATATATATTTCCATTAACAAATCATAATCATTATATTTTTATGAAATGATCTAACCTTCTTTTTCATACTATTCAAATCATTTTTACAAATGAATAATGTTGTTTGCTTTCTTTTTTTGAATATCAAATGTACACAAATAATTGTTGACACTTAAACAATCATATTCAAATATATTTTTATATTTATACAAAGAAAATGAAATCATTCTTTTCCTTATTTTTTTTCCATCGTATTAGAATGGAAAAGATGAAATTGAATAGTGTGTCACATTTAGGTATGTCAACATTTACAGTGTCATCGGGGGAAAAAAAAAATAAGAAAGGATTAGTTATAAAAAATTGAAAATTTTTACGAAAAATTTTATAAATTCTGAAATTAAAAAATTAATTTTTGTGAATAAGCAATTGTATTTTAATCATTTAATTAGACAAATAAAAATTGGCAAATAATGATAAATTTATTAAACTTAATAAATTATCAAAAATAATCTAAAAGGAAATTTTATATCAATTCTTTCAATATATAAACTTCAAAATTTTTATTCAAATATTTTTACTTTTTTGTTCTTTTATATATTGCTTTTATTCCTTGAAAAAAAAAAAGAAAAATTCATTTGTGAAATAATTAATTCATTCGACGCTTTTTTTTTTGGATTAAAGATATGGTTAATATATCAAACTTATAGCATTTCTTAATGGGTTTTACATGAATTTATTTGAAATTTAATCTTATACTTTCCTTTTTTTAAATATATTTTCTTCAAAGTTCAAAAATTTGAAAGAATCATGAGAAGAGAGCAATAATAATTATGAGAAAAAAGCCGAAGGATTGAAAAGAGAAAAAATGCCATTGATTAAATTGTGAGTTATTGTAATTATTATTACCAATTATCATTGTTACCATTATTATCATTAATTACTATTATCACTAATAATAATAATAACAATAACAATAATAATAATAACAATAATAATAATAATAATAATAATAATAATAATAATAATGATAGTAATAATAATAACAATAACAATAATAACAATAATAATAATAATAATAATAATGACAATAATAATAATAATAATAATAATAATAATAATAATAATAATAATAATAATAATAATAAAAATAATAATAATAATAACTATTATTACAAAGGATGTATTACTTACTTTTGTATCATGATATGAAAATTTCATTGCATAAAATTTAAATTAGAATTTCAAGCAGTAATAAATTAAATACTAATAGGGTAAAATTCGAACAATTATTGCATAATATTAGTGTGATTTTCCTTTTTCAAATATAATTTAATTCATAGCTCAAAGTACACTTTTTTCCATTTCCGATATATTTAATATTTCTAGTTAGGTATAAAATAAAAGAGGATTATGACCATCTGTACCTCTCTCTCTCTCTC